GTGGACAAACCATTCACTCTTGTTCAATGCGAATGCCGTATGCTGGAATATGAGCAGTTATTCCGTCATCACCCGGGTGCTGATAGCGCGCGCACAGGTGAGACCTGAACAGCACACGTTGATATCTGTGTTTAAGCTAAACTCATTTAAGCTTTGCCAGTTTTAACATTTAAGAGCCAGAGGACGTGAGCACGTGCGCACAGTGAGAAGATTTGTGCGAGCGCTCATCCGAAGCGTGCAAACCCGGGCCTCAGAACGCGCGCAAATATTAAGCTCTCTCTGAAGTATTGTGTTTAAATGGACAAATTCACACAAAAAATATGTCAAAATGCCCGTCTTGGTAAGTATCCTATAGCAGACATAGCCGGCTGAACGTACTGTATCAGTTCACTGGATCAGTGCATTCTCTTAAAGCAGTGTTTCTCAACCCTGGTCCTGGGCGCCCCCCAGCACTGCACATTTTGTGTGTCTCCCTAATCAAACACACCTGATTCAACTCATTAGCTCATTAAAAGAAACTCCAGGACCTGAAATGGGTGTCAGATAAGGGAGACATACAAAATGTGCAGTGTTGGGGGGTGCTCAGGACCAGGGTTGAGAAACATTGTCTTAAAGTGACAGAACTTTCTTAATATTAATCAAACAGCAACAACAAAGAAATCACTCACTGCTCTTGATTGAATAGCTTTTGTAACTTTAATAAAGATTAGTCTTTAATTTATACAGTCAAATATGCAATGCTGTTTTACATTTCATTACTTTATTCAATTTCTGTACCTAAAAACCTGAAAATCATTGTTTATTTTATTTGTATCTTTACTCTATTGTATTTATTTGTGCTGTTGCTTGTAGTTAGATAGATTATTCTTATTTTCTTTATTTTAATTTGACAGTATAGTTTTTGCCTAAACATAGCACATACCGAACCATACCGAAACCGTGATACAAACCGAACCGTAAGTTGAACCGTTCCAACCCTAGTATTTGTACTTCAAAATTTCAGATTTAATTCAATATGTTGCTTGCTGTTAATTTGTAATTATTTTTTGAAATTTTCTAACAACTGTCTCAAAGTAAAACCTACACAAATTGTCTTTGGTTTTTTTTTGTTTTTTTCAGTACATAACCACAATTGCCATCTAACATTTTTCAACATTTGTACTGTTACTATCAACACATTTAAATTTAAATTTTACCATGAGAGGAAGATATCTAGTAGCCTTTAAGTTAACAAAGAAAATGTTATTTAAAAAAATATTACAATTGTACCTGGCCTCCCTAATTGTCCTTGTATATTAACTTCAAACAGTCTAAGAAAACCTCACTCAAATTGACTGTTTTGGGGGACCATGTACAACAGAACTGCCACATGTAGCTTCTCTTTCTGTCTGCCAATGAACAGAAATACAGGTTCAACAAACAAAAGACAAACTCAATTTGTGCGGTATGTTTCTTCATTAATGTTAATTACTGATGACTAATACGGAAAGATGGATTTGCTGGAGCAGAACTGTATATTTTGCATTTTAATGTGAAGCCTATTTTGAACCCTCCAAGTGTTGTCTTGTGCCATTTTTGAATGATAGCTTCTTGAAATGTAATCAAAGCACGTCCAGGGACACCATTCAGACTTACGGGTTTCTGAGATGCTGGTCTCAAGGTGAATCAGGCCTGGCTCTTTATCAAGGCCCAGTTTAGACCTGGAGAGCCCAAAGGAAATAAAAAACAATATTTTATAAAATAAGCTTTGAAAAAACGAAAATCCTTTGTGTTTACATGCAACAAAAGATGGGTCAAAATAAGGGCATTGGCTTTTTTGTGTCGGCTAAAAGATGTTAGCCTCCCAAAGGAGCAATGCGGGTTAAGTCGAGAAAGTACCATCAGAACACCCTATCCTGTTAAGCCTCCATTTCCATCTCCATCTATCTGTGCTTACGAACAGAAGCAAGGAGCATATCCTGACATCATTAAAAGTAAGCCCTTCTTTTTTGCTTCCCAAGAACACCCACAGGCAGCGCACACAGCTCTCTCGCTCTTTTTAGTGTGGAAAAAAATCATTGTTGCATGAAATATTTATTCGAGACTGAAAATTCAGAGAGAGCTGCTCCAGAGAGGAACACAAGACTATCTAGTGTAGAAGCAGACTATCTCAAGACTTTATCATGACACTTATTGGAAGTATTGACGCTTTCACAAATATAGCATCCCATGGCATGCTCTGGGATCAGCCTTAATATTTTAAAGGCAGAGTGGCGAATTCAATAAACAGTTACACCCCTTTTGTGCACTGTATTTCGAGTTTGACCCGCAGTCCACAGAGTAAAGAGGTTAATTTTGCAAAAATGATAATTAATGTGAGCTGACTGTATAAATGCCCACTTATTACACAGCTACTCAAATAAATAGATGGATGGACATGATATTTAGTTTAAATTGATTTTATGATCATTACTGTATATTATTATCTTACAGCTTCCGCAAAGAAAAATGGACCATTACAATGCACAAACAATTACCCGAGATAGACAAGATGAACACTGCAACAATATTACAGTAATATAAATGCTGAACTCGTCTGAGGTCATTTTCATTACAGTAAATAACTAAGATGCATGCTGGCACCACTTGTGTTTGTATGAAATGAGAGAACAAGTCTGTGGTGTTATACAAGAGGTATGATGACGATCCATGGCACAAGTGACCAATCAGAATTGAATATTTCAAAAAGCTGTGTAATAAAGTTCTACAGTGTCTGCCCACTTTATCAGCAGCCTTGGTTGCAGAAGTATTTTTTTTCCCATTCATTTTTCCAATATATTTTTTTTTAAGTAAAAAAAAAAAGGGAAAAAGCCATGAACCAAGCCAACGAGCTACGAGGTGAATCACAACATTAGTTTAACCATAACTTTGGCAGCCCTGAAATAGTAAAAATTTCAACTTGAAACCTACAAGAGTTAAAAAAAAAAAAAAAAACTCAATTGATCCATGTCCAAAATACCTTTCAGTTCATTCCAGCTTGTCCACTTGAGACCAGAGAAAACATAAAATCGAATCGAATTTAGAATTTATTTCTCAACAGGTCTCTTTAATCACCACAGTCTAGACATCTATTAGCCATCCTGATCAAGCTGAACGATCTTTCTTAATGACTAAATCATTTGCAACATTGCAAATGCAGACTCTGACTCAGTAACAAGGTCTAATGACAACATTCATTAAAGAGCTTCTAAGCTTTGGACGTAAACCTCGAGAAAGCTTTGGTGGTGGAACACAGTGGGGAAAATCACATCAGGATTGAACAACAATCTGTGTTCTTTGGTTTATTCTTTTATCAGGCATAGAATGCAGGAGCTCAAATGATTGATGTTCCACATGCAGCAGAAGAAATCACACAGAGAGCTTACCAGTAGAATCGATTGGGTGCCACCTGTTCGTGAACGAGCTGCCATCGACGGCCAAACTCAACAGAGCTGTAGAGCTGAGGACGAAAGTATTGTGTTAGCAAAGAAATTTAATGAAGATTATTGTCTCTTCTGATGTTGCAATATGCTGCTATTTAATTGTACATCTGACTATTGGCGTTGTTTAGGTAAGTTTGGTTTACTTTTTATTCTTATAATTAGCTCTGGTCCAAAACCTATAGTGAACATCATCAATGATTCCGGCAGCAGTTTTTCTTCAAAGGCCACATTAGGAAATTATGAACAGTGTTGGAAATTATAAATAACGCATTACAAGTAAAGCAAGTTACGTAATTAGATTACTTTTCAAGCAACTCGTAAAGTAACACGTTGATTTTTAATTTACAAGAAAATATCTGAGTTACAGCTGTCCTGTCCCCATGTTGAGAGAAATCAGGAGTAAGTGCAGAGGTGTTGCGTGTGCTGTGTAAACATGATGGTTACTGTAGACTAAATGTGAACATGCATCTACTCATCTCACTTGGAAAAAAAACAGATTCAGGATTCCTCAAAATTAATAAAAACAGTGAAAATGCAAACCTGCAAAAATTAAATGTTAAAGAACACAAATATCACAATGCAATTAATTGTGATACTATTTCTTAATATTCCTTAAATTTTATTAACAGTTGTCTTTGCTGCTGACCTTTGATGATCCAGTTCAACCAATATGCAAAAATGATTTTAGGTAAAAATAGCATTTTCTTTTCTTTCTTTACTGATTGACTGATTGATTGATTGCTGATTGCTGATGAAACTTTATTTTCCTGCATCCTATTCTTTGTGGTATCCAGAATAGCTGAAATGTATCTTTGACTTTACAGATATGAATTTCCTTCAGCCTAAGGTTTATTCATTTCTCTTTTTGTGTAAAAGGGCTTTTACATTTGGTAAAATATATATATATATATATATTTTTTTTAATTATATATAGAAAAAGTATAAACACAAAAGTAATGTAACACATTGTGTTCCAGACCTGTCAACCTTGGAAATCTTTTTCAGGGTATTGGCATCAAAAATCCTTACCACAATGGTGTACTTTTTTTTTCTCCATATCGTTGGAGTTTATTTGAATAATCAAATGTAAAAATAAATCATTACATAGTCTTCACTGTATTAATTAATTATACACTAGTTATTCAGTCAAGAGTGATTTTACTTTAGTCAGTGTGTAGTGTGTATGTTTGGGCATAAAAAAGATCTACAAAGTTACAAATCTCAAAGTCCACTCCAAAGGGAGATATTTTTTTTTTTTTTTAATCCCTTTTTTTTG